GAAGGATGAGGGAGATCAGATAGAGGTAAAATACAATCATGCTGAGAGACAGTAGAAGCAGAAATATTTTCCTTATAAGCAATAGAATGAAGAATGGCAATGTCAATTGGAGGAAAGCCAGAAATTGCATAAACAGACTCATAGCTTACGGTACGATATCCACATATGACCCGCAGAAGTATCCGTCTTTGAACGCGTCGTAAATATCTATAATTTATCTTCTTCTTGAGCGATATACCCCAGGCTCTAGAGCCATACATAATGAAGGGTGCAATTCCTTGTTTATAGATGAGCGAATGAACCTTGTAATTAATACCGTATGTGTTACGTGCAATACGACTTAATCCACGCTGTAATCTATCACATTTCTCTGATACAGTTGTTTCCAAGAAAATTTACAGTCAAGAAAAACCCCAAGATATTTCATTTGCTGTACCACAGTCAAAGGGGTGCCATCGAGAGATAACTGAAAGGCATCATAACAGATGTTTCGCTTTTCAATAATCATAACCCTGGTTTTATCAGGATTAAAATCTAATTTAAAACCTTTTGACCAGTTGGAGGCGAAATTTAAAGTCTCTTGTGCCTGCAAAAAAGTAGCAGAAAGGTCCCTACTCTGGAAGCAAAACAAAAACATCATCTGCAAAGGCTATAGTATCACAACAAGCAAGATTTTCCAGTTTTAATAGGAGATCATTAATAATAATATTCCAAAACGTAGGTCCTGAAACAGAACCTTGAGGGCAACCCCTTTCGAGGTGACGGATTGCAGAAGCCGATCCCAATTGCAATTTGGCCGCCCGATCATTTAAAAAATCAGCAGCAAGTGAAAAAATATTCATTGGAAGTTCTACTTTTTTTAGCAGATTGAGAATACAAGGCCACCACGCATAGTCGAAGGCGCCCTTAATATCCAAAAAGACCAAAATAGTGTGCAAGTTTTTCTTTTTTCCTCTCTGAACAATTTCATTCAAGCGTAAAAGAGCGTCTTCAGAACTTTTTTGAGGTGTAAAACCATACTGATTACCAGAAAGAAGGTCTCCATGGCGGAGATACCAGCAAAATTCTGTTAATAAAAAGGTTTTTCCAAGCACTTACCCAAAACAGGAAGTAAGCTTATACATCTAAGGTTATCTAGGTGAAGGAATCCTAGACTCATTTTCTTTAGGAATAAGAATTACTTGAGCATGTTTCCAAACACGTGGGAAAATGCCAACATTTAGGCAAACGTTTAAAAAGTTTATGGAGAAATCGAGGAAACATTAAATGAAACTGTTTAATAATCTCATTCGAAATAGAGTCAGGACCAGGTGATTTATTTGGTTCCAGCATAGAAATAACTGTATTAACTTCATCACAAGTAAACATAGATCTACAAAAGAAGAAATAAGCAGTACGCGCAGCTTGACGGTATTCCTTATGCAAATCATCATCAGTTTTCCTCTAGATCCGAGGGAAAGATTTCTGAAGCACAGCAGTAATTGTCTCTTCTAAAGAGTTGGTTGTCTCTCCAGTGTAAAGACAAATACCAGTTATTTCAATTTTTTTTTCATGAAATCTCTTTTAACTCCATACGTGTAAATCTTTTTCCATACATTGTGAACATCAATGGTCGAAAGAAATGTTTTCCAAGACTGAGATTTAGCATCGGCAAGCTTTAGATTGTAAACTTTTCTATATTCAAGATATTTACTTTTATAAAGTTCTCTAAGAGGCGGATTTTTACAACGCTGAAATCTACGCCTAGAGGCATTAAGCCTCTTTCTCATACAAAAAATTTCGGCAGACCACCAAGGAACATTGTGCTTATTATGATTCCTAACAGGTATGGAAATTTGAGATGCCTGGAGAAGAACAGAACTAAAATTCTCAACAAGAGTATTTAGGCGAGAACCGTCAGTACAGTCGTTAAGAATATCAATGAAACGGGTGATGCGAGAAGAACAAAATTTTCGAAAACGATCCCAATTTGCTTTCCCTGTATTGAAGATTTTAAAAGGAAGATTTGAGGTGTCTCGTAAGAACGTAGAGAGACAACATTCAAATTCAATCATCATGTGATCAGAAAGGGATTCTTTTTCAGACAGCCGCCAACTCGAAACATCCTGGAGAAGATCTGAACCAATAACAGTAACATCAATATACCTAGAACCCTGAGTTGCCTGAAACGTAGGTCCATAATCTTCATTAATAACAAATAGGTTGTTGGCAGAAATAAATTCACTCAGTTTATCTCCACGAGAGTCTGAATAGGGACTAAACCATAATTCAGATTTGCCATTAGAGTCCATACACCAAACCAGTCGATTAAGATTTTTGGACATAAAGACTTGACTAATTTTATGAAGGTCTAAGTCAATGTTTCTTGAGTGTTCAAAATAGTATGAAAAAAGAGTGAGCACAGTTGAGCCAACAGTAATATCCAAGGTGACCATATTATAATCCGTATTTTTATAATCAAGAAATGTTGATAGATCACGTGATCGAATAATGATTGCCGCCTTTACATTGTCAGAATTAGGATCACAATAAAGTCTATAAGTGCCAGGATATTTGGAAGAAAATTCTTGTAATAATGAGGTTCCTGAACCAAAGCACAGTCAATATCATCAGCTTCCATATTTAAAATTAGCTGTTGTGTCGCAGATTTGGATTTATGAAGATTTAACTGCACACACTTTAGAACGCGTCTAGACAATCTAGCCATAATCAATTCGAGCCAGTCTAGCCAATCTAGCCATAATCAATTGAATGTTCCTTCTCATAAATTCATGACTAGGACAGCATTCTGAAAAGGGTTTGTGATTAACATTCACTTTTTTATAGCTGTTATTTGTTTTATGATTGAAGCGGATGCAATTTATACAAGCTACAGCATTCCTATTCGAACAATCCCTTGCCTTGTGTTCTCCAGAACAGTTAAAACAGGCTGTTCGCTCACGACATTCATCAGCACGATGGTTGTACCCAAGACACTTAAAACATCTATTGATGATAATAAAATCGTCAGTTTCACATATACTCTAATTAATTTTCAACCTGGCTTGATTCAGAATACGTTTACGAACCATGGGGTGCGTTTCAATGACAACGTGCCTCGTGAACTGGAAGGTTTTTAAAGTAAATCGAATTCGACATATACTTCTGTTTTCATCAGATTCAACAACTTTGGGATTTTGTTCAAAAATCACTTTCAAAAGATCTTCATTGGGTATTTCATTTGGCACATTTTTTACAAGTAAAACAAGATTCCTCTTTTTTGGCAAGGACGTGTTTATTTCCGGAGCCTTTCGACTTCATGCCGAGATGGCTTGAAGTCGATTCCGATCATTTTCTGTCAAACACTTAACCAAGACTTTATCTTTTCCAATATTTTTTAAAGTATATACACCTAACTTAGCTTCTAATGGATTGATTTTTAGTTTAATAACTTTCTTAACATCGTCAGAAGAGCAGTTTTCAGAGTCTACAATTAAACAACAATCCGAAGAAATCAAGGATTTTTCATTAATCCTTGTAACATCAGATGGCGCCACCACACTAGCATAACTGGGTCTTGAAACGTTCCTCACAGGGGTCTTTCAAACTTTCCTTACAGGCATCCATAAATTTAACAGCTTTGATACGTTCAAAATTTTTATAAATAGAAGATTTCAACTCACCCAAAGCCTGCCTGGCCTCCTCGCGAACCTGTTGATTCATATTACATTTAGATTGAAGTGCTGATTCAATAATTTTAGTGTTTTTCAAGAGCATCGTAAAACACGTCATCCTCCGTAGCAGCCATTGCCGTGCATACAAATGGGGCGTTCCGGGTCGATGAAATTCTCAATCATTCATTTCTTCAAAAATAATCATTACCTTGATACAAAAGGCACATTTTTCAAAACCGGAGCACAAAACAAATTATAAAAAAGCACTTTCAATAACACAGAACCAATATGCACAGAATAATAAAGACTTTTCATCACAGCACAAAACTGCCAACCAACACGGCTGCTGACATGCGCAGATTTTTTGACATATACAGCTTTGGCGTCAATTTTACCTGCCTATGCATACATGGTGAAACGTAAGGAAGATTATTAGATTACAAAGTACTTACAATGTATTCTTGTGTATTGTTGATGTTGGTGCTTGCAGCAGATAATTGTATTTCTGAAAGATTATACTAATTGTCCTCAATTTCATTAAATAATGAGAAATTTATATTTTGCTAAAGCGTGTAAATTTATCACAATCTGAAGGACTTAAGTCCTCTTATAACACACAGTAATCACATAGGTATCGAAATGGAATTCTATATTTCTATCAATAATACAAAACAAAAATTCAAATAGGTTAACCGTATTTAGTTTGATGAAATAAAATGTAATACATTTAAGTACTCATTTTGGTTAATCTAAACCTTAGCCTTCGCTTAATATTTAAAGAACTAACTGAATACAGCAAGGTAAAATCAAACCAAAATTTATTTGTATGCGATTAGTAGATACAAACTAAAATGTGATAATTTAATCATCATTTCTTGCAAGATCTGGAAAGCAACAAGATAAATATCTAAAACAAATAGTAAATTAAGTATGTAATAGCCCACTTGCTAACTATGCGAACCTCTAAGCACAGAAACTAGCAAAAACCAGAAAATTCATCGAAATCCGTGTGAATTACCAGAAGTACGAAAACAAAAAGAAACAGCGTTGCTAGTAACATTGCTAAATCTCTGCTCTTAAACTTTCTTGGTACTTGAGGTTTACATTTCCTGGTAGAGGAGATGGAAAATACAGAAGTACGTGACAGATATTAATAATATATTAATTTAAATATAAAATGTAAAGTTTCATATTCACTTCTTGCATTATCCAGGGAAATAAACATACTGCATTATTGCAATACTCGCATCTTTATTTTTAGCTGTTTAATTTGATTTTTATACCCATTCATTCATCTTGGAGAATGAAATGTTTTAAATAATTACGGTTATTAAAATGAAAATTTACCTGGGGTAATGAAAATGTAATTTTTTTCGCTCAGCAACTTGATCAAATAATTTGTAACATCTCTGCCTCCAAAATTAACTCTATTTGTAGCTTGTTTTATCTTACATCCTTCAAATACTGCCATGGTTGTTGTAATTCCTCCCCCTGAATACAGAATGCTTCCAGTGACACTTCCTGATGCATACAGAGCGAGGGCGGGCTTAAGAGTTAAATAAAATGACAAGGCATTAAATTTCTCGAACATAAGCTGAAAGAAAAAATTAAAAACTTTCCATCAATTGCAATTATTAGCATGCATTTAAAAGAGAACACATGCAAATTGTAGCGGATGAATGAAAATAAATCAAAAGTAACGAAAAACACAAGAAGTTATAGTTATTTCTGAGAGGGACAGTATACTAAAAATGAATATCATTTTTACCGAATCCCATATTATGAAAATAAATAAATATAATAATAAAAAAACTACCCATTTTTTTACGAAGTAAAGAAGTTTTGTAATCTCGAAAAAACTCGGGTATCATATTTCAAAGGAAATATCCATTTTGACCGATTCCTTATCCATTTTTTTTTTTTTTTTTTTTTTTTTTTTCAAATGGGTCGTAAAATGGATTTTTTCGAGACATCTGTACGTAGGTACGTATGTATCTCGCTTAGCTTAAAAGCATTGAATTCCATGTGGTGTCCATATAGATTTGTTTTCTCACGTTTGTTTGTTCTTTATAAAAATCACTACATTCCAATAGATATAAGAACGTTCTCTCCATCTTGAAGATCAGGTAGTTTTCCATGCTGTGAAATATTCTCTTCTCAGATACTACAAAGCGTAGTTCTCTGAGAAGGAAAACATAGGAATAAATTAAAAAAAGTTATGCAAAAATGTGAAAACTTGCAAATAGGAAAAGCAAAACAGAAAGCATCCCAAAGGAGAACAGCAAAATGAAAATATCGAAGAAGGAATGCCAAAAATGGTAAAAAGGTAGAATCCCTTAGGAGGAATATTATATTCACTCGCTTAAGGCTTTCAATTCACTTACTAGCACTCTAAGGAATTATCACATTTCTACTGTGTGTGGATGTTATGATGTAAGTGGAAAGCACACTTAGCGACAAACTGGGAGATCCGTGCTTCAAATCCCGGCTAAAGCAAGCGTGATTTTTTATGTTTCCTACTTGAAAAATCTGGAGTGACGCACTGTACAGACTGGATTACTACAGTCCGTGTTGTAATAATCTGTATAGTGCGGCACTATGGAGATCTGCAGTCTCTAAAATGTTGCGTTGTAAAGGCTGTCTGTCTACAGTCTGTACTCTAATAACGGAAATGAGTGCCACACGAAATGTGTTTAAACTCGTCACCGCCTGGACGTCTACTGAGTCTTTAAGTGGAAGAAAGTTATTGCATTAAGACATTATTGCATTCCCCTTGCATATTCTCATACTGTAAATGCTGACACCTGCGATACCAAAGGGCCCAGCCTCGAATCCCGGAGAAGGCATGATTGTAACTGTCCGTCCCTTCATAGGTAGCAACGGTAGCCGCCTATTAGGTGTCTCCACAAGAAATTGGCCACCACTTCTGCCTTAGGAGTGGCCATTATCGAATAGACAAACGCCCGCCATTAGATTAAAAAAAAATTAATTAGTGAGGGCACGATTGATTTTTCATGTTTCCTTCTTAGAAAATCCTAATAGTCTCTACAGTATTTACTGAAGGTAATTAATTGCATGACTGATCTGTTATAATAACACACCCACTGTAATAATTATCTGTAATAATTATTGTCTATAATAACACTGTAATAATTAGTCCACCCACTGTAATAATTATCTTTTATAGCACAATGTACCCTTTCAATCCGAATTCTGGTTGGTTTTTTCACAACTGAAAAAAATTTCCATTTATTAGCATGTGAAGATCCTCATAGTAAGTTCCATAAATTTTAAGCAGGGATTAATTGATATATTTTTTAATTACTTAAAATACTTTAATATGTGGTTTTAATTTCTTATTGATTCCTGCAGTACAGTTCCTAAATGTAGTACTTTACAGAATGGGCTACGAAGATTAAAAAAAAAAAAAAAAGAAAAGAAATATGCTATAGTGTGTTAAATATGATTCTATTTCTTCAGTTTTTAAAAATAAAGGAAATAGGAATAAATTTTCAACTAAAGATGTATGCTCTTGTATGAATATCTTAAAAGGAAAATCATGAATAATTGATTTATTGTTTATTTTATAAATGCCAAACATTAGCGCTTAAGCTATTAATTCACGGGCTCTCCAGTACTTTTTAACAATGTCCTCATACCAAGAAAGTGCAATACAATTATTTAAATGTTCAAAAATCATAGGCTGATTGGAGTCATTGGAATACTGTTTGAGGAATTCACCACTCCAGTTCTGTAGAGGTGGTCTCGCAACAGTCATGTCCGGTCAGACGTCTAAATAGAGTTACCGCTGTCTTTCTTGGAAAACTGAGAAGTTGTTTCTTCCCCCAGAATACTCTAACTCTTATCCATAGCACGTTGAATCATATCCTGCTTAAGAATTTTCTTAAGAGTCAGGTTAACAAACAATTTAGTCTTATGAAATGAAAGTGGTTGATTAATAAGTTGCATTATGGAAGTTCCCTTTTTAGCCAATGTCTCAGCTTTTTCATTTCCCCTAATTCCGTAATGGGCTGGAATACATTGGAACGAAATTCTGTGTGCCATTGCCTTAAGCAAAGGCTTACAGTCTAAGATTATTTGAGAACTCTTTTGATTATTCAGAATAGCTTGCAGCGCACTTTTGGAATCTGACAGTATGACTGTCTTTACAAAAGCGTGGCTACGAATCGACAGTTGTTGAATAGTCATAGCAGTAGCTTCGATTTCACCATCAAAAAAAGGCAGTAATAAGAGGGCCAATTGGTAAGTAGAAACTAAAAAGCTCGCTATGGATACCTGCTCCAACACCGCGCGTTCTCTCTAACATAGAGCCGTCAGTGCAGACACGCAACCACTCATTTTGAGGATAGCGAACCTCAATAGTTTCTATTGCAATAGATATTAATTTTGAATCTCCCATTTCGCTTTTAACAACGTTTTGAATAAAATGAAGATTTATATTCAAATTCAAAAAATCTAAGGGACAATGGGGAGGAGGTAAAAGTATATTATGTCGGCGCAATTCCAAAGGGTTGTCGGGCAAACGCCCCAGCTTCTGGTATAATAGGATCGCTTTTCTCTTAATACAATTATGAACAGGTTCCTAACCGGTTAAAAGCTGCATTGCAAGAATAGAAGTAGATCTCACTGCCCCAGTAATTATGCATAACGATTGGTTCTGGAAGACTTCGAGGATCTAGACTACATTCTCCGGAGCCGTGATGAGGATCTCGGTACAGTAACCAAAAATTGGTTGAATGTATAATTTGTAAATAGTCGTCAATGTCTCTCCGTTACAGCCACAGCTTGAGCCAGCCGACGTTTTAAGACAGAGAATCTTCTTACGGCTTTATTTTTCAAATGTTGTGCATACTCCAGTTTAAGCGTAGATCAAGGATGCAACCCAAATATTTTGTCGAATCATTATGTTGAACATCTACACTCTTATATGTTAGTTTCGGGGTAAAAGTCTTTCTGTTCAGAGTGAAGGACTGGCGCGTGTTTTTATCCTGATTTACTCTCATACCATTTTTTAGACATCAATATTCCAGCTCTTTCAGAGCACCATTAAGAGTGTCATTTAAACCAGCCTGCTTCTCTTTAGAAGCACTACTTCAGATAACCCAATCATCGGCAAAAAGGGCAAAATCCACCCACTGGACCAGAATGTTCGATAAATCGTTAATAAAAACATTAAAAAGAATTGGGCTGAGGACTGTTCCCAGTGGGAGGCCAGTTTTAGTCTGTTTAATTCTAGAAAGGTCACAGCCATATCTAACAGCACAAAAACACTGTGATAAGAAGTTCTTAATCCATAAAAACATCCTGCCACTATTCCCAAGTTCTGTAATTTCTGAATAGTACGTAGTCTCCATACTTTATCATAAGCTGATTCAAAGTCTATGCCAGGACAGACAAGCGATTGTCTAAAGAATCCTTAACGGCTTGACTAACATACGATACCTGTTGGAGAGTGGAATGATATTGTCTAAACCCAACTTGTTTAGGAGACTGTTATTATCCAGAAACTAAGTTATTTAGAGACTTTCATCTTTTCCATAATCTTTGATAAAATGCAATAGGTCGATAGCTTTTAATATTGTTACGTTTTTCGTGCTGAATTAGATATTTTTAAAAGAATTATTTTAAAAGAATTAAATTGTTTCATTCTCCGTGCAATGCTGCACGCGACATATTTGAAGAGAAAGCTACGCCGGAAAAATGAAAAGTACAGGAGCAAGCGCGTTTAATCAATAGATATCTCGTAATTGCACGCTTTTTCTTTTTGGGAAAAATCGAGAAAATATCAGAATATGGTCGTGCTGATTAAAAAGCTTATAAACCTCTCAATTCAGTGTCGTTTAGAAAACTGTTGTTGTTTACTGCAGCGAATTCGCGGTGAAATCGGATTAGCTTTCTCTATTTTGAATTAAGTTCTGTTGAACGTTTTTATAGTTTAAAGATAACTACTGCGAGATATTGCAATATTGCACGAATATCTGTGGAAATTTAAGCATTTTGTTTTATTTGTTGGGATAATAATAAATTTTTATTCACTTTTCATCGGACTTGTGCATTCATCTTATTACGAACCCGTACGCACGTAACAATATTATTTGCAGGTTTATCCTTATTCAAAATAAGGCTAATAATGGCTTTTTTTCCACATATTGGGTACATAAAAGTTCTAACTATGATTAAAAATAGATAGAAGGAACATTTGAGCATTGTATCCTAGATGTTTAATAAACTCTATTGTATGCGTATTACTTGGGCCTGGACTTTTTCTATCTTTAGGAAATTAATTGATTCTTCTAGTTCTAAAATGTCAAAATCTCTTATCCAAATCTAAAAGTCCTGTGGGAGTCGTTGATCAATTTTCTCATTAAATCTTGATCTCTCTTACGTTCGCCAGTCTAGCGTTAATTAGAAGCATGAATAATTAATAATCTTAAAAAAAATAGTGTTTTCGTTCTCTTGGAAAGACTTTCAGAGAAGAAAAGAAAAAATCTGAAAGGGTTCATATTTTAACGATCGACCAAATGTATATGTTAAGGTTTTCTACCCTCTCGCTGAGTTCACAGTCTACCAGTCTCTGTTGCACTCACTCCTGCTAACCCATTTCGTTTTGTCTTTTTAACTTTATAATGAAACATCATTTTCTTCGCATTTACGCCGTGTACAATTCAACAGCAAAGTTACAAATTTTTAAAAGCAACGTATGCTTAGAATTCGCAATGAAGTGTCAAGTGTTGCCCATTTTTTTTTCAGTCTTTTCTCAGTTTATCATATCGATGTACAGTTTTCGTAGGAAGATGGCTTGCATTACTTTTTTACTGGCTTTTTATTATTAATGTTTTGTGTTAAATTTATTAATTAAATACCATGCTGTTCGCATATACGCCATATAAAATTCAGCTGAGTAGCAAAATCACAAAATACTTAAAAAAAGCATATCTTTAGAATTTCCGATATACAGTCTCGCGTGCTGGAGATAAGAATGTTTTATTTCGTACAGTGTTTTCACTGCTCGCTTTCAAATCGTTGATCTTGTTAAAATTCATTAAAGTTTTAAAAAATATGAAATATAAAATTCAAAACAGCTTCCAGGTGTACATATTCGGGTGGAGGAGTACGGTATTTAAAAATTGATGGCTCGAGTCACCGTCATTTATCAAAATGCGAGGAGCATACATACATGCAAATTCTCCGTTACGTAATTTCGTTAAAAATAATACGGGGCGATAAATGGTGGCAACAATTTGAAAAGTGGCACAGCCGTTTATAATGTGCAATGCAAAATCCCGTTTCGAGACTAATAGCTCATTCGGGCTAACGCCCTTTTGGGCTCATAAGGAACTTAGAGTTTTCCCGAAGCAAGAAACATGAAAAATGTGCAGTGTCTTTGCTTGTATTCGAACTCCGGAACTCCCGATTCTAGCAGGACGTTCTTCTAACGACAGCATGAAGGCAAGCGGCATAGACGGAGAAAATAGCTTTAATTCTTCTCCACTTAAAGGGCGATTGGGGAGGTGGTTACGTTTTATCATCTACCACATTTTAGGTCGGGCGCCATTGTAAAACCTCTTAGAATTTTTCCGAAGCCAGGAAACTGAAAGAATCCTCAGTGCCTCATTGGAATTCGAATTTTCGAATTCCAGACCTTTTAATTGCTAGCCGAAGGCGTCAAGAAGAAGGGACCCAGTTGCCAAATATTGGCGGTAACGAATTATCGTCCATCACCTTTTAGTTCGGACGCCACTTGTAGAGACTAGTAAGCATTTTGTTTTGGAACAGAAGGTGAGAAAAATGTGCAGTGCCCTCACCGCGATTCGAATTCTGGACCTTCCAATTCTAACCGAACGTGCTTCGAATTACATCACAAAACGCGCTGTAAAAGGGGAGTAAATATCATGTAATCTCATAATTTTCTTAAATTAAAATTGCCATGAAAGGAGTTTAGTTATTTTTTATCTAACTAAAATTAAAATTATTTAAAATTACGTAGAATTTTCGATTTCATTCATTATTTTAAACGAATTTTCATCAAAAATATTTGTGCAAAATTTTCGAATGGAAGATTTTTTGCAAATATACGCGAACTCACATTCCCGACCCTCAACGATAAAAGGAATCAAATCGAGTTCATATGCAAATATGATTTTTTTCCTCCTTATTTCAGTCTTTAGTTATTCCTAAGTAATTTATGCTATAAGAGTTGGTAAGAAAACATACCTTTTTACCTTTTATGACCAAATGAAAACCTTTAGGTGATATTTCATGAAAAAATTACCTCGGCAATCATCTCTCCATTCGAAAGAGGATTTAAAGCTGGTTCTGCATACAGAATGGGATGATGAGAGCAATCAATTCCGAGACCTTCGATCAGTATATAATCCATAACCTTTTCGTATGAGTCCCAATCCTTGACTATTCCTCTTTCGACTGGATAGTGAAGGGACAGAATACCTCGATGTTTTTGCGCTTCGTCTCCAACGTAAAATTCTCGGTCATGGACTAAGGATGGCATACAACGCTGAAATGAAGGCACAGAATTAGTGTTCTTTTTGTTGCTAAACTCTCTCTCTTATTATATTAATAAATAAATGCAAAGTACGAGTATTTCAAAACCTAATCCAATTATGCGCTGATAGCTGCGACAACTAGTGGTAATATAGTAAAATAAAATAAAATATTTAAATGCATCCCATATTTAACTTGGAACAAGCCAATTAGAAATAATATCGAGAAGCACAGTGACTAAGTACATGAAAAGGTGCAAAAACAATGTATATAAAAAAGTATGTAAACACTCCATGAGTTCCTTGTATGGCATATTAAATTAGACGCATTTTTTGTTGTATTTCATGTAAACGTATTTTCTCGAATTTAAGTTTTCCGGGAGTGATGAAGGCACATATTTCTATAATAAATCTTCTACGGTTAATTGAAGTATTAAATTGTAATTTATGATTTTGTATCCTTTATCCGATCAGAAATAGCCTGATTCGTTTAATTCTATCGTTTGACCAACCCTTGATGACGATTTGGCGAGGAATGTAAATAACCTTTTCCATTTTATTGTTTTCATTTTTGGTATGCATTATTTTCACATAGTTTCATGCATTTAGTCATTATACTTCTTGTCATTATTTCTAACGGTTTGTGTTACTTATCTCACTTGCCTGACGGCAGCAAGAACAAGCCACGAAAGTCATCGTGACAAGGAGTGCAAGATTGCACCTGTGGTGGGCTAGCGCCTTTAACACCATGCAGGTGACAGTACGACTTTTCAGTTCCGCCCCCAAGTTTGATGGAGAACACTCCGGGGGAGGGGGACGTGTCCGAGTGTCTCCGTCTCCCACCTCTGTTTCCCTACCATCAAATCTCTTAAGAGGACTCTCCGCATATTTAGAGGGCCCCCATGCCTCATAGACGCTATAGGTTTACAAACATCCATGATTTCTCCGGTATTCCAATCCGGGCCCTACAGTCAGAGTCACTAACCATTATCCCGATTGGACGGCTTTATTCCGGATTGATTATAAGATGGATTTATAATGTTTTATTTTTATTTTACAACTTTATTACCTTAAATATACGTTAGTACTCAGATGTTTTTCTTGTAAATGTTAGTTCTTGTATGCCAACAACATCGGAAAAGGAAGAAATATTAAATAAACATTAAATGAGAAAATCTGTATTTCTTTCTCGAAAATGTAAAGATCTGCATCTTAATCAAAAAGAAAAACAGTCAGAAATTTACTGTTGGGAAAAATTCCATCTCTGAATTCAAATAAAACACTACAACAGCCAACAACATCTTAAAAGAAAAAAATATTAAATAAAACATCCTCGAAAATGTAAAGATCTGCAACTTTATCAAGAGGAAAAACACTGTAAGGGGGGGGGGGAAGAATTCAGTCTCTGGATTCAAATAAAAGACTATAACGGTTTATTAAATATAGAGCAAATGCAGTAGCATAACTTTGTGTTTATAGTAGGGGTCATTTCAATATTTTAGTTTTAGACTGAGATAATTTTTTTCTATTAATTATTTTATATATTTATACCTACAACTTGCTTATTTGGCTTTTTACGGATTAAATGCTTGGAAGGCAACTCTGCTTTCTAATCCAGGTCCATTTTAAGCCATATTGCAGCTTCTGGTAATATCAAAATCTGCTCCAGGCATTTATTTGTATACCGCATTTTAAAATAAATGTTTTTAAATCTTGTTTGTAATTCAAAAAGAGGGTTAATGCCTCTTTTTGAATTATGTAGTTGTGTCCAATTATATCAGTTTAAAAAAATTCCCATTATGTCTACCTGAAGAATATAAACTTACCGGATACTTAGGAATTCCTATGGTAGATGGCATACTGAAGATAGGAAAATCATCGCCTGCGAAACCAGCTTTAGCAACTGATGATCCAAAATCGATAACTATGGTTGGTAGTCCTTCAGAAACGTCCATACCAGTCAGGCTGGAATGTGTGAATTTTTACTATTACAAGTATTTCTATGATTTGGAATATTAAATTCCTTCAAAGGTGCAGCAATTGACAAATCGAAACCACTAGTCTATTAAAGTTTATTAGACACAGCCACACTATTTAACCTAACATGTATATTAAAACTTTTCGCAAAAGTAATTGCTATTTTTAATTATTTAACTTTTATTTACCGCTATCTCTTGAGAACTTAGGAAGTACCAGGTTTCTTAAAAGACTAATACTTATGTATCAGAATTTAATAAGTGTTTCAGTGTTATTGTATGTTACAACGATTTGTAAATTCCAAAGACATGACAAAGTTTTTGAATTTCCAAAAATTGCACTCTCATCCGCATATTTGTGCATGTAATCGAGAAGATCTCGGCGATTTTTATTGCAGCTATTAAAAAGAATAATCAACTAATTCGTACTGATGAATTCCCAAGATTTATTTCTTAATAGAGTTATATTACCTAGACCCGGAACTCTTGACCAGGCACTAACACTTTCATCACATCCCGGGCTGAGAATTGAATCTTGAGATTTTTACCTTTCACTAATGTATTAGAATAAATATGATCATTAGCGCGATTAGCAGTTTTCTCTGAGAGTATATCGCTGCTTACGTATTATTGCAATCACCTTAGTAGAAATTGTCAAAGCTTCAGAATACAGAGGCTGTTCATACATTTTTTAGACGATGTATATTGTATTCACAAAACTAAATTACATGAAATTCTTGTGTTTTAAATATTCTATTTGACATCCCTTATTCTGAACTATCTTTCGACACCGCAATTTCCAGGATAATAATGAATTTTGAAGTGACAGAAGAGATATTCTATCCCATTCCTACCGAACAGCTTTCCAGAGTCCTGTTAGGGTTTTGGGACAACATTTGGATAATGCAGTTTTTAAAAGTCCGAAAGCACAAAAATCCAAAAATGACACATCGGGAGATTTAATAGGGATATCAGTGAAGGGTAAGGCCTTGATACCAGTTTTTTTTTCAATTTCTTTTAGGAAATTTACAGTGGATTTTGATGTGTGACTGCTAGCTTTGTCCTGATGGAGTCTCACAGATGGATGGCACTGTGGGAAAAGCGATGGTATTTCTTCAGAAAAATTGGCAATAAAATATGTTCCTGATAGCATTTGGAGTTAATCTTGACATTTTTTTGCACTCTCTTTATTTTTAACTTGCCATTATAAGAAAAACCAGCAACAATCATGAATCCCTTAGAAAAACATTCTTTCGATTCTTTGAACCATGTACTTAAATTTTTTTCTCTCTTTTGATGATAATAAACGGCTCTTTTTTTGTTACAATCATTTAAATACACCCATGCTTCATCTATTGTGACAATTGTTTTCCATTTTTCTTTGGATAAGTGTTTCTCATACAGAATTCTGCAGCGTGTCCTGCGTCGAGCGATGTGCTTTGGAAGAAGACGATGCACATTGCGTTTTTTCGCTTTCTTAAGATTTAAATCAACGTTTATAATTTTGTTTACAGTAGATACTGAGCATTTTAATGATTTTGCAACTGTCCTTTGACTAGGGGGATTTTCTTTTAACATTAAACAACGTACCTTTGCAATAGTCGAAGATGTCCGTTTTTTTCCCTTGGATATTTGTTTGGAATTTTTGTCCCACTTGAGGCTCCAATTTGACGTTTTTTCCTTTCTTGTTGATGATATTACCTATCGACGCTTTAGATATCACAAAACCATGACTCTCACGTTGTTTTTGGATAACGGAGTATGCATATTTCTCTTCGGAAAGAGCGTAAATGTAGCCTTCGAACCACTGCTTTGTTAAATTCGCCATTTTGAATAAAAACAAAACTTTCAAGCCACAGACGATAATTTTGACTTTTAGAAACATAGTACAATTGCAATTACTTCTTTTGCAGCAAACGATTTTTTATTACCGCTTACCCAAAATCGTCTAAAAAATGTGCGAACAGCCTCTGCATATTAAAATCTGGTAACCATGCGCATAATAGTTATGCAGGCAAACATGAGCATGACAAATATTCAGTTTCCAACGTCGCCATTTTCATATGCGTTCTTTGTGATGTATTTCAAGTTCTAAAAACTTTTATAAAAAAATTATGGTTATTTTTTTTCTTATACTCGATTTTAAAATTTGTGCTTGTAGGACTTTTCTGTAATAGAAGAAAGAGAGGTGAAATTTCTGCAGAAATATTGAAATACATCATTTTGTAGCAAAACTGCTAAAGGAACAATTTTCTTTTTCTTTTAACTTCTAGTTTCGGATTCTTTCTCAAAGCGATCGCTACGAAATTCCCACCACAACAAAAACAAAGGCCCGTTTGTAACTAGGTTAACTCATTGTCTTTTGAAATAAATATATAACTGAAATGTAAAATATATACGTACATACTATGTATGTAATGTGTAATTTTTAACAATAAAAGTAATTGTTATTTTTCTTCCGTAAAATTCGCCGAACTGTGCCAAGGTTGTTGCGATAATACGTAAGTATCAATATATCTATTCTTGTATTTCCTCTTTATGTGTAACTAAATGATTTTCGAATTTAAAATTAATGAAAATCCACCCTCTTTCTTTGCTAACTGTTATCTTACTGAAGATTCATGATTATCCTTTACGTATGCACTTCAGACATTGGAGCGTATATGAAGACTCCGATTTCCATTAATTAACTTTTATTATCAAATGTTATTCTTTCTTAATACGTAAATATGTTTCTTTAACGTGTATGTATAATTTGTTTTTCATCTGATAATTTTTGGAAAAGTAAATATCATTCATTAATAAACATATTATGATTGGTTAATTTTTTTCAATGCATGATTGTCCGCTCTGAATGTATAAGTATTTTTATTTTACTTAATAAATGTTTTAAATTTTCTTCTCTTTTATATTTTAAAAGTTTTAATTCTTTTACTGCAAATGTATGTGTTCTTTTTTACATTTATGCTGGATTATTTCCATTAAACTAACGGATCTGCATCTATAGGGCGCTATATTTATAAGAATCTTACAAGTTAAGTATCGCTTTATCCTTGTTCATAATAACATGCATATTGTAACGTATGATTTGTCACAATATATAGGTTCTCATCTCAATAGCTTAAGTACAACTTTATTGCAGCGCGATTTAATGCTATTCGGTTTTTTCCCTTTTCTATCAATTATCGGTTAATCTGTGGTGCTAAGTTTCATGACTTTGTTAGGTACACTGCGGAGGGGAAAAAAAGGGGGGGGATAGTTCTATATCTCTCATTCTATTGGGCCGATTGACGGGATTCAACTTGCATTTTTCATGTCTGAAAGAGCGACTTAGGCTATGTATTAGATTTATACATAGCATTCTTCTAATTTGACACAAATCAGGTATTTTGACACAAAATCAGGCTTTTTCTGAAATAACATACCAAATTTTTCCATATTACGATTCAAATTACGCCAAACTACCAAGTTTTGTAAAAATCGCACGAGTAGTTTTTAAAAAATTAGCTCTCAAAATTTTAGCTCCTCAATGTTAATTGAGTTTGGTATATATTTATTAATCTCTCTTTTTTTAATTAAACTTATTTGATTCGTCCTTTCACATTTCAAAATTCAGGTTCATTCCAAATAAAATTCACCCATTTTTATGATTTATATTTAAAATTTGTATTTTTAAATAGATTTTAAAAATTTTTCAGAAAAAAAAATTAAATTATAATCTATATAAATTTTACCATCGTCTTAAAGTAGACGTATTTCTAAGCATACCTGCAAAAAATTAGAGTTTTTTATTCAAAATTTCCGAAGATATGTGGGAATTTATATATTGGCGCGTTTTGAAATTTGGCATATTTGTTGAAAGCGATAAAACATCAAATGTGGCTTAGACACTTTGCTAAAGTAAGATCGCTGCGAATTTTTTTCCGCTCAAGCACAATGTAGAAAAATAAGAAAGAGGCGTCTTTTTTCCGCTTTGGCATAATGGAAGGGAAAGGAAAATTGTATGCCATATATTAAGAAGTTCACCAAATAAATTATTCTTGGCGCAAACTGAAAAAATTGCGCCAAGATAAAAATTTGAATTTCTAAGTAAATTTCGAACCCAATTTTACAAAATATATATTTAATATTTGAGTCGTAGAATGGAAATATATATATTTTAAAAAAAAAAAAAAAAAAAAAAAAAAAAAAAAGGTATGTTATTTCAGAAATAGTCCGATTTTGTGAGAGAAAAAAAACCTATTTTAAAACAATGCTATATATATAAGTCTAATGTATATCCTAAATCGAGCTTTCGAGACATGAAAACGCAATTTGAATTTTGTCAATCGACCCAATAGAACGGGAGATATAGAACTGTCCCATTTTTTTTCGCAGTGTATAGAATGTATATTTATATATTATACTTCATTACATATTATATATTATTTACTATATTTATAGAATGAGACTTGATCCCAACAATAAATATGTTCATCCTCCTGTTCTAGAAAAAATACAAAAAAGATTAAATTTTCACTTTCCATACTTATCTAAAGGAGTAACTGGAGGGATGAAACATCGCTGCTGAAGGATATCAATCTCCCCGGATGATTTTTTACTAAACTTATGAAGCTACCAATTATTTTAGGAAGATATATACTTGCAAGGAATTATTGTATTCTTCCTTGCGTATTCTAGTAATGTAAGTAGTTAGCAGATCTAACTAGGTTTGGAAAATCCGTAGGTAGAATCTTGACGAAAACAAATCTGAGTTTTCACGTTTCTGGCACCGAAAAGTTTAATTGTCTCGACAGAAGTGCTCGAACAAAAATATGCTTGGTGATATGTCACCTCTTGGAAATTGGTCCTACTGGATCTTGTTCCTCATTCTTGTTGCCTCGTACGGAAGGAATAAACGCATTCCTTCTCTATTTGCTAGCTCATCTTGTGATGTAATCACTTACATCACAAGATGAGCTAGCAAATTGAGAAATGCGTGCTTTGAATCCCAATGAGGGCAGTTGACTTTTCAAGTTTTCGGTTTAAAAAAAACGAAATAGTATTTATATACTAATTAATAGTTTGCTGATAGATATCTTAATTTGATCAGCTTCTGTAAAACATCTGTCGGGTTATTATTATTTTATATTACCAGTTACCAGATTTAGATCCTTATTGTCATTTTTCTTTTCCATTTCCGTACCAGAATACAAAATGAGTTTGAGAGTTTGCAAAATTAGTTTGTATTTAAGCGAGGTTTACGATTGTAAGACACAGCTTCCGAGGCCATGTTATTAGGTTTCGCTATCTCTGATAAGATTGTAAATTTTTCGACGTTGCGTTATATCTGCTGACATTTTAAATGGTTATGTCGGTGAGAAATTTTTGACCCAATTGTGTAGTTTTTGAGTACTAAGTAATTTTTAATGTACTTTAAACTACCTTGCCACAAGTAGTGGTTGTTTTGTTAAGCACGAACCGGCGTTTATATTAAAGTTCTGATTTAATAAAAAAAAAAGGTTTGTTTTAAACCTTCTCAAGACTCTGTATGCTACTATATACATTTTAATGTATGTGTCATAATAACAATGTATTGTTTTCTGAAAATATACTTAAAAATTGAATGAAAATTCAGAGATAAGCACTAGGCACAGAAAATATATTTAAGTAAATATTACCTTGTACAAACTTAGTTGACTCTTATCCGCTCATGCAACTGTAATTTATCAATTTGTTACCATCACAGCTGATTCCTTTAAATCTGAGTAAAAGAGTAAATTAACTTTTTTTAATCTTTCATTATCTTCTTTCAATCAAATATTGAAAGTCGAAACCCAATAATATAAACACATTTCCCTTTTCCTGCGTAAAATAAACTAGTGCATTGGTTGATTGCACAAATCATAACAAAACCGCAAAACAATTTACGATTACGATCAAATTAAATATTATAACAATTACCATCTGTAAGCGTACAATACCCATGCTGTCAAAGACATACAATTTAAATGTTAATCAGTTTTCGCATTAATGGCCTGTATGCTAGCGTCTTGCCTTCAAGTAATAAACAAAATTCACAAACTCATTTATCACATGGACACGCTCTGCAAAATTATAAGTCAGCGTAAGTTGATGCTAAACATTAGATGTCATTCTTTTTCCTTTTTTTAGCTACTACTCAGTTTGAATGTATTTTAATTTGTTGCATTTACTTTTGAAGTTTTACAGTACGGCAAGTTTAAGAGAAAAAATATATGTATAAATTAACAAAGTGTTTACTTTAATATCCCCCCCTTTCAAACATAAGAAGTACAAAATCTCAAAACTTTCCGTTTATTTATCAAGCATAAATGTGTGCTGTTACTGGTAGATTAATCCTTTACAGCTTATTCTGTGCAGAATATCAATGATGCGCGGTGGTTTTCTTCGGAGAGTTTGCCTTATCTCTGTTATTCTCCTTTATTGGCATAGCCAGAGTTTTTGTTAGCCATGGTGGATCTTGGTACTTTTCCGTTTTACCGGCGCAAGCGATAAAAACGCCAGTAATGATACAACCGATGCCAAACGAAATATCCTCCCTGGTAACCTTTTACTTTAACTTTTACATTTTCAAAACAAGTCGCAGCCATTTCTTTTCAGATTGATTGTTTCTTTCAATACTGGCATACAATTACATAGAAGCCTAAGGCCATTCGCGGATGGTAGTCAAGTCAATTAGGATGCAATCACACGGCTCACCCGATGGCGAAAATGGTTAAAATTCCATAATCGGGGTGAACGCCAAGCTTGGCGAGAGTTTTTTATTTGGCGCGATTTTAATTTGGTTGTGATTTTCGGCTGTATGTTTTCTTGTGGCAAACTTAGAGCTTTATTTCGGTAACTGTAAGAGCGCGAATTTAGTGTATCCAGATTTTTTTAAAAAATTTAATTTTGAAATACCGTGTTTATTTTTAAAAGTTTTACTGTTTAATATTATTGTTATATATTTGTTTAATATTATATTTATGTAATTATTTGCAAAAGGTTAACTGTTGTTGGTGGGAGACGTTGGATTTCATATGACTGAATTTTATATTATGAATGTTTTCATTTAATTTTATTTAGTTAATTTTTTTAGTTTGTTTCTTGCATGTGGCAATCGAAAGATTTGGAATTTAAGCTTTGAACGAAAGTTTTTTAGTGTGTTGAGTTCCACCGACGATAGTAACTTGAGTATTTTAGTTAGTTTATGATGCTGAATACGCATAATTTTTTATTCTGTTTACGTTTAAATGACTTCGCAGTGCTCTGATAAGTGTATCATTTATTTACTCAATAATTATTTAAGAATTGTTCATTCTACTATTTTATGATGACTTACATATAATATAGACGATGCTTTTAGTTGCAAAGCTGTTGGACTTTTTTTTACTCATCTAGTATTTTATCATCTTATTTTACTATTCTGTTTACATAAAATAACGACGTTTCACTACTGCAGAACTTAAAAGTTACTATTCTGTTTACGTTTAAAAATCACATTTTAGTGCTTTCATTTAGTGCGCCCAAAAAATTCGCCAAATTTTGAAGGCCAAAAGGTACAACTCTGATATACGCCCTAATTTCACCAAATGTGGCGATATGTGTTCTGCGATGGTTTTTGGCGCGATTGCGTGTTGTATGGCAACCCTGTTGACTTTGAAAAATCTTTGGCTGGAGTTCGTTGGTTCGCGTCGTGCTCTGGATCCCATCGATGGTATTAAAAATAAATACATGAATAAATATAAATAAAGAGCTTAGTACTGTGTCCTCCGGGGATTGGCCACGAAACGAGGAACATTGAAATAGACCAGAACATGGAAAGGTGCATGGTGGGGATTGCTGAGAACTAAAATGGTGGGAAGTTGTTGAATGAAGTTAGGCAAAAAGCTCGTGGCCATCCTGTTGAGGGACAGTGGGTTTTGGGTGTGGAAAGAGGTTCTGGAGATTATTTTAGTGGCTGTGCTAGAAGTAGGATTTTGTGATTATTTTTATTTTGTTTTTTTGAACCCTATAGGAATTTTGGATAGTGTGTCTGGCTGTAATATAATACGAGGGATTACGTGGCGGCATGTTAAAGGCGGTATGAAATTGGTATTTCTGTTTCGAAAAAGCATTGATTCATGGTAAGTGCATTTTATTTTTTTTGTTCTTATTTGTAGAATGTTCTGTTCATTGTTTTTTTTTTTTTTTTCGGCTGTCTTTATTCTTGTTTTTTTTTGTTTTTGACTTATTTTGTTATTGTTTGAGTAGTGCGTATCGCTAGTGCAATTCGTATTTTAAGTAAACAACGCTGGTATCTTTGAAATTGTTGTTGTAAGTTAGAAGCGGGGGGCTGCGTCCTTTTTGTTGCTTTGTGCCATCGTAGATTTTGTAGGGGAATCAGGTGGGTTTTAGTTATTTCGTTCTTCAAGTGAGGTGTGCGTAGTCCTATTCGTCGTTGCCTCGATTCGCCTCGTAGATTTTTTCTAAGTCCATGGACCTCTTGTCAATAATTTGGTTAGAAACTTACGGTTTTGCTATCTAAATTTTTGTTTTGTTTCGGATTTTTAGGTTAAATTGTGTGTTCAAATGTGGTTTTGGCATTCGCGAAAACCGTGTTTTCGGAGACATTTTAGGCTTAAAGTTCGAAATGTAGACAAAAAATTTAGATAGCAATATGTCAGCGTGGAGTTTCTTGCCAAAAAAGTTTGGCGATTTGAGGGCGCATATCGGAGTAGTTCCGGCCAAAATAGTTTGGCGCCAAGGCAAAGTCAAGAGTTAAATTCATCAATTCTAATGAGAATGCACTAGCGAAGTAAAGCACTGCGGTTTTACAAAATTTCTGAGTAAGCTATTCATACGAATTGAAAATTCTTGCAATTTAAACTTGTTTCCAAATTAGATTTAATTTCAAATTAACATAGATAATTACCGAGAGAATTAGATTTTTGTAGCGTAGTTTACGTCAGATGAGATCACTTGGAGTTTACGTGAGATTTTGATATGAACCTGCGAATCAGGATGTGTACGATGAAAGCATAGTAACTTCTTAAATTAATGTCTTTTACAAAATTTATTGTCTTTATTTTTGGTTTTTTACAGATTTTAAACGACATTAAAATGTTTTATACCTTCAAAATAAAAATTCACAGACCTAACATTTGTCACACTTTTTATGTGTATACTGTGTGTTTTCGCCAATAAAGTCTACTTGGCGAGATTTGCGCCGGCGAAACGGAAAAGTACCATTAATCCTTTAAAGTTTATTCTGTGTGGTATATCAATGATGTGCGGTGTTTTGTTTGCCTTTTCTCTGTTATTCTGCTTTATTGGCATAGCCAGAGTTTTTGCTAGCCATGGTGATCTACTTGCTACCCCTTTCATTGCATAACAAAATATCTGCGAAATGCTAGAGCAGCATATATGGAGATAAATAAGAGCTCTGTGTATAATTTTTGAAATAAAATTTACATTCTTACATTACGCATGTAGTGCGGGCTTCTGAACACGACGAACTATAATGTCGTCAAGTCTGCACAAAGAAGGCACCAGTCCTAATATAAAAGCGATGAAGGTAATACAAGACTTCTGGAAGTGTTGATATATGCTACCTGTATCTGGATCATGGTTGTGACATCCCAATGCTATCAATGAACCTGGTGATACTCCTTTTCCACACTGCTGCCAGACAAGATAATTTTCCTTGTGCAACACTTTTCTTGTCAAGAGTAGCAGGTGTCTAAGAATTATCTTTCAGTTGCCAGCTTTAATTTCGTTAAAAATCGATTTCGTGACGTGAGAAGGTAAAAAAGAAGAAAATCGCATGTAATGAACGATTGAATTAGAAAGTCTCATCGGAACATTTTATTCTAAAATTATAACCCAGGCTATTAAAAAATCAGAAACCTTTGAAAGTATTTCCGTACGAAGTTTTAGTACGCAATTCATATTCTCTGCTTTACTTTTAAGAACTAATGGTTGTTCAAAATTTCTAAAAAGCAAACTTCATGAAATCCCTCAATTTTCAATATAGTAATAAAAATGCTAGCCACAAAATGGGCAGCCCTAACAACCTCCTCCTGATAGCACAAAATAATATTTAACAAAAACAATTCAAAAGTTACTCCTATCTTGAAACCTAAATCTTATTCCGAAAAAGCTAAAAACCTGACACAAATAAAAATTTTATCGAATTCTTTTTCAAAATTATTATTTTAAATTATTTTGCAATTCTTTTGCGCATTTAAAACCTGTCCATTAGCTTTTCAGAAATTCGGCATAATGTTAAAATTTTCTTAATTTTGCACATGAGCGTACATTTTCTAACATGTAGCTTCATATTATTTTGAAATATTGTATAATTATTAAATTTTATTGTATATTATTATGTCAAATATTATTAATCAGTTTCAGAAGCTATTACAGAAATTGGATTTCACGAAGCGTCACATACAAAGAGGAATCGCTTGCGAAAACGCAATAACAATTTATGGAAAATCAAAGTAACGTCGCAGACAAAAATCTTCTCTAAAGAAGGACTATTATTTTTCTTTGACACTTTTCGAAGACCAGGCAGATTGTTAAAAACTGCAATGAGTGCTTTCGGTGGGATTAGGATGATTGGGTCGTATTTGTATCCTATTGGGTAATAAAGCTAACGAGCGCCCTCTGACGACAAAAATAGTGAAGAAATTGAGAAAATTAAGTTAATAGAATTTTAAAAGCTTTAGAAACTTATTGTTAGAAGAGATATGATAAGGTTATTTGAGCGTTATAATTAACGTTAATTTAAAAGTTTAATTAATTTTTCAATTTCGTTACTATTTTTCCCGACAGATAGCGGTTCATTTTCGTTCGCTTTACTTCCGTAGGAGATAAATACGACCGTTGTGCCCGCTGCTTTCTAGTCTTACAGATTTCTTTGCTCCTCATGAAGAGGTTACTGTATCTGTTTGCCCTTAAAATGAACTGAGATCTTGACTAAATCTACACCAAACACAAGGTTGTTGCTTTATTAATTTTATGTTTCACTTTGGGACATTTCTCTTCTATAATGATGAGCTAATTGGGATTATTTTCATCTGTATTTCTATCGTCTACAAAAATCTGCGATAAAAAAGTATTCAGAATGATAATAGTTTCTTGAAATGGCTTGTTCAAATAATACAATCATATCAATACAACAGTTTTTAATTTTTAGTGAAAATTAAACACATTCTAGTATTTCACAGAACAAAAATGAAACATGAAACACGAAAATTTGAAACTATTGTCTGAATAAATATATTGCTCTTTTTTATATATCTAGGCGTTCACAATTATATAGACGTAGCATTTCAGATCATTGAAATCCAAAGTATGGTCTGAAAAAGTCACAATTGTTGTGGTGTGGTCCGTTTCCCATTTCCTTTTGGTCAAGACTGAGATACTTAAATCGAGGATTATCTTTGGAATACAGAGGCCAAAAGTCTGTCGGTTTTCTAAAAATAGCAAAACAAAAGTTATTTTCACTCAAAGCTAGAAAGTGCAACACACACAGAAACACATACAATGAATATAAATTTAAGCATAAAGTTTTGAACTATAATCATATCCAGTTTAGATAGTAGTATAATTAACATGCTATTTTTGTACTTATATCCGCTCTCACATTAAATAAAATATAAATATGTCCGCTATCACGTTTAAGAGTATTTCTTTTATATAAGAGAGAAATATTTACACTTATATGGATCCTAGGGTACTTGTTTATTTTTAAATGCATGAATAAAATAAAGAAAGGAGAAAAATTTGCATAACTTATAACATACATTTCCGCAGTTCCCTAAGAAAGCTCATTGAAATTCTAAAACATTTAAAAATACTTTTTGAAAGTTATGGATGTATTGAGAAACTAATGAACGGAAAAGAAATATGCTCATTGGATTAAAAAACCGGAATTAACAACTATAGTTTAACATGAAAAAACATAGCTTAACTGCAATCCTTTGATATTTCAGTGCAGCTGTAACGCCTGATCATCGCTTAGGTCTATAAGCTGCGGTCTAGGGATATGGAATTTAGAAGCCTCAAAACCATCTCCTAATTTCTCAGTCTTGAATTTTTCTCATGCAAATCTGAAAAGTAAATATTGAAAGGTTCCGTGTGAAAAGTATCGGAAGGACCCAGACTGACTTAATTTTACTGTATGCAACCGAGAAATTTGAGATGAAAAGAAACAAAGCAACATGTATGTAATTAGCAACTAAATTTCACTACGTGGGAACATGATCTGCACAATTTTCTTAGAAAGTATCATTGCCTACCCGTGAAGCATGAAAAGGTTCATAATCTCCAAGTAAACCAAAATGCCCTGCAACGACTGTATTTCGACCTAGATGACGAATGGCTTCCATACACAAGCTCCGTTTGCTGCGGGAGTCTTTATAGGTAGATTGTAAGTTAGGCATTGGACTCTTGTTATTGTTCACTCTGGACCAAAGCCTCAAAGCGTACTATTTCAGGAGGTACAAAAAACGACCAAGAAGCTGTAGGGAGAAAATAGTTTCTAGTGTATTTATTTAATTGATGAAGAGGAAACATCATGCATGAAATCGGTATGCATATTCTTGAATTAAAACGAATATGCATACCGCTTTCATTCATATAATGTGATGATGCAATTCACTTGATGAATGTCGCTTGATTATGAAAGTAGCACCGTATGAAAAAAGCCATACGACATAATATACGGAAAAAGTAAAGGAATAGCTATAAAAACTGATGTAGTTTACGTCTAAGAACATGGAACTTGCTCAAGATCTTTATTTTGTCATACCTGACACATCTTCAAAATACGAAACTGACTATTTCTTTAAAAAAAAAAAAAAAAAATTAAAGAAGAACATAGGAAATATGATATACAATGAGGTAGGGAAAAATTCCTTTTACAATTTTAAGAGATGGAGAAAAATTCAATATACACTGAAGTGACAAAAGTCATGGGATAGCAATATGCAAATATACAGATGGCGGTAGTATCGCGTAGAAAATGTATAAATGCGAAGTACTTTGGCAGGGCTTTCATTTGTGTTCAAGTTATTCATGTGAAGAGGCTTTGACATGATTATGGCCGCACGACAGACTTTGAACGCGGAATGGTAGTTGGAGCTAGACGCATGGGTCATTCCATTTCGGATATCGTTAGGGAATTCAACATTCCGAGATCCACAGTGTCAAGAGTGTGCCGAGAGTATCTAATTTCAGGCATAACATCCCACCATGGACAGAGCAGTGGCCGACCACCTGCACTTAACGACCGAGACCAGCGACGTCTGCGTAGAGTTGTCAATGTTCACAGACAATCAACACTGCGTCAAATAACCGCAGAAATCAATGTGGGACGTACGAGGGACGTGTTCAATAGGACAGTGCGGCGAAATTTGTCTTCCTTAAGCTATGCCAGCAGAAGACCGACTCGAGTGCCTTTACTGACAGCACGACATCGCCTGCAGCGACTCTCGTCTCTCGTGGGCTCGTAAGCATATCGGTTGGTCCCTAAACGAATGGAAAACCGTGGCTTGGTCAGATGAGTCACAATTTCAGTTGGTAAGAGCTGATGGTATGGTTTGAGTGTGGCGCTGACCCCACGAAGCCATGGACCCAAGTTGTCAACAAGGCACTGTTCAAGCTGATGAGGGTTCCATAATGGTCTGGGCTGTTTATAAATGGCATGACTCGGTCCTCTGGTGCATTTGAACCGATCATTGACTGGAAATGGATACCTTCAGCTACTTGGAGATCACTTACAGCCATTCATGGACTTCACGTACTCAAATAACGATGGGATTTTTATGGATGACATGCGCCATGTCACCGGGCCACAATGTTCGCGATTGGTTAGAAGAACAGTATGGACAATTCCAGCGATGATCTGGCCACCTAGATCGCCCGACATGAATCCATCGAACATTTATGGGAATCATCGAGAGGTCAGTTCGTGCCCAACCCTGCATCGTCAACACTTCACAATTATGGACGTCTATAGAGGCAGCATGGCTCAATATTCCTGCAGGGGACTTCCAACGACTTGTTGAGTCCATGCCCGTTGAGTTGCTGCACTTTGCGGGCAAAAGGAAAGACCGACAAATAGTAGGAGGTATCCCATGACTTTTGTAACAGCTTTAAATCGTATTAAAATCTTGTAGTTAAATATTTAAATAGATGAACATTAAGTTATTGTGAATGGCAATATTCGAAACCAGGACTCGAGTTGCCACGTGCGACTCTCGCACGAAGAATGTAATTTTTTTTAAATGTTTAGAATATTTTTCTCTTTCGTTTGTATGTCGCATTTTTGAGTGTTAAATAAAAGTTATTGCTGTGTTCCATCATTGGAATTGCTTCATTTCGTCAAAGAAGTATCACAGTCATAATTATTTGGAGGCCACCGACCAAGATCGAATAGTCGATTTTTTTTATTTTATTAGTTCATCACTGAACGCCAATATTAGCGATACCAGATTATTTATTTTCCTGTTAATATTAAATTGTCTTATTTTATTACCGTATTTGATATATATTATTCATTTTAGTTGTGCAGACGGTAGACATATATATATTGCTCTATGTTATTATCTTATTTTAATCACACTTAATGTGGTAGAGAGAATGAACTTCATATAATTTAAATATTTCTTTTTGAGGTATACGTACTTAACAAGTGCATTTAATTTCGTGATTCCTGACTGCATTAATTAATTAAAGTAATTGAATTGAGCTATTTGAGGAATATAAGAAAACAGTGTTCGTTAATTTTAAAATAGAAACAATGTCTTACTTAGGAAGAACTCGTAAGGAAGATTGCAAAATCTCGCGGCTGAACTGGGAGTTCATGTGACTGCAGATTTGAAAATAGTCGATTTAAACAGAAAATTGTTGAAAGTAGAGATTATGATGAAGTATTCGTCAAAAGGTCTTAGACACAATAATAGAAGAACGGAAGTGAGGGAGGAAGGGAAGAACGGAAAGAGAGGGAGGAAGAGAAGAACGGAAGACAGGGGAGAAGGGAAAGAAGAGAAAGAGAGGGAGGAAAGGAAAGGAAGAACGGAAAGAGAGGGGGAAAGGGAAGAGAAGAACGTAGGAGACAGGAGAAGCGGAGAGCGGAAGGAAAAACAGTATGAATTAGAGAGCTTAAGAATTGAAGCAGAGACAACGTCTCAAATACCGGACAGATCCGGCCGAACGGAGCTGCGTCACCTTATGCAGAAATTGATGACCGAAGGAGATATCAGTCTATATTTGCTATGTTTGAAAGGCAAGCAGATGGGCTACATTGATAAAGAGCATTTGTCTCATTCTAGGACTCCTTCCTCCGCCCCCCCCATTTACTAGCTAGAGAACCCTCCGATAAGCTAAAGACTATGAACCCGTAAAGAATTTATTGTTAAGACGGTTTTAAACTAAGCCCGAAAAGTTTGGCAGAAACTATGAAACATCAAAAGAGTACCGAATCCAGGGTGGATTTATTTGAAATAGAAAATCTGCAAGGAATGGGTGGGTCTAGGAGTTAAGACTTTTGATCAGTTGCTAGATTGATGGTGATTGACCACTTAAGCGTCGAGTCCTCCTGAAATCGGATCATTTCTTGTGAGTGGGTAGAGATGATTTCATCTAAAAATTAGCTGACACTTGATGCCTATGAAAACGTTTGCGAAACTTTAAAAAAAAGCTGGTGGATAGGCAGAAAGAAAGATACAATGCACTAACTCAAGGTAAATGAGTCAGATAATAAAAAATAAAACGAAAACAAATGTTCACAGATTTTAGCAAAGCTTGTTTATAGACCTAGAAGTCCACGTCCAGATGATCAATATGAAAAACGAGCCCCACAATGCTATCAGTGTGGGGTCCTATCAACATTTAAGGCCCCAGTCCACTTAAGACTCTATGATTCTGCTATCTCCAGAATAGTGCAAACCCAGAGGATAAATTCTATTACTTATACTGCGGGTACGTAATGGCCAAAAATTCCTAATAAGGTTCCGGTGTCGATTGTCTCGTTTGGCGCAACTCTCCGCCGGAAATGCGAAGGTGAACTGGTGGGGCACAGCATTAGATTGAATCCACTGTTACATGGCTGAGATCGAACGAAATGCGATCTGGGGTGCGTATACTAGGGCCCTTATTAGAATGAACTCGACAAGGAAGGATTATAGGCACTCGAACTTGCCTGTGATAAACAAAGAAAGGAGCTATAGGGTCCTACGGTAATGCTGTCTCTATGGCTCAAAGAAAGCGAACTCGCTGAAGAGAAGCCTTGGAAGTGAGGAAGAAACTAAGATCCGATTGTTTTGAAGACGAAGATAATTACCGGAACTAAATACGGAAGATGAAGTCTCATGAAATGGTAAAAATGACTCAGAAGAAATGCAAACTTCAGTTGTGGTAGGAATGTCTAAAAATCATCCAAAAGTTAAAGAGGTAATGCAAAAAGAGAATA